TATAATTATCATTATTATTATTGTTGATATTATTATTATTATTATTATTATTTACTTCCTTCTTCTCATTTAAGTGTCATTAAATACTCAAAACTGTTGCTGAAAGATTTTTTTTGAAGCGTGAAAGGTCATATAAGACAACTTTCATAAATCAGTAGATTGTAAAAATAGAAAAATATATTTTCCCAAGAATTCATAAATCACCAATATAGCAACTATTGAGCGAGGGAATAAATTTAGATACAATAAACTCTCTCTGCCGAATTTGATTTTATTTGCTTAAAAATTTATTATTTGTGCCATTATGCCTATATTAAATTTTGAAATTTAAGGCATACTTTGCAAAATATAAGTAATTGATGCTCCAAATGTACTTAATATAAAAATTTCTAGTTTGTTTCATTTAATACTTTGAAATGTGTATCTGATTTCACTGTAAATTACTTTTTCAAAAATAAATATTTCATCTATAAAAATTTAATTATTTTCAAAAAATAAAAATGTCTGTATGAAATAGATTTTCAGTTTTCTCTAAAACACAACAAGAAACAATTGTACAGTACAGTTCTAAAAATCTACTGTAAGTATGCGAGCCTGCATTTCGTTCACTAACGAATTGAGTTCGGTCCGTCTTTAGTCCAAGTGTTGAAGAACAATATAAAGAATGACCGCCTGCCTGCTTAGGGTTCCAAAAAATGTAAGTATCTCATATGTTCACTCTGTTCCCAGAAGTTATGGATGACACCAAAACGAATTCTTTTACTGCTTTTCCTCATGTCAGCGAAACGAATTTTACTGCTGGGTCCCTTTGCTTCCTAGGGATGGCCTCCTGTCTTACTCGTAATATGCAACAGACCACTTGTCAAAGAAGATGAGTAAAATTTTCTTAACATCTGTCGGAATACGCATCTTCTAAAGAGAAGGGATCTAGAGTTCTCTTTGTGAGATTGTGTACACAGTACAATAGGGGGTCGCGATTGCTGTAAGAGTTACGACAGATGTTTCAATCCTTTTAATCTTTCTGATCACGATTTTAATAAGAGAACATCTCTTACACACGTAAACCACTATTTACTATTAAATCTTGGTTTAGAGGAGTCATTCGATTTAGTAATTTGTGGCTGACGGCGGAAAAAAGTTAGTCGGCCTCCAAAAAGCCTTTCTGTTATTGAAGAGGGCGTCAAGATCATAGGCTTCTGTGGTTTAACTAAAGTATTGTTACGTCCAGTGATAGTGAAAACATTCAAAATCAAGAAAATAAAATTTTAGCTCTACAGACAGTTCGTCAAATGTCCGCAAAATTAATGTAGAGAAAATAAACACGAGTTTAGTTGCAATAGGAGAAACGCACTTCAAAAAATGAAAATAGCAATAAAAATCACTATTCACATTAGAAATTTCAGAAGGTAAAAAGTGCTATTGTAGATTTTTTATAGAACATTTACAACAAGATATAGAACATTTTTCTCATTAACGTTCCTTCGATATCCATTGAAAAATCAGACAAGAATAATGCTTATTCTTATAAAAGTATTCTTTTCACTGAACATATGGTAAGACGTTAAAAATTCACAATGTGACAATTTTTGAAAGAAAGTTAAAAGGCTTAATTTTACAAACATGTCAGAAGGTTAACAATTTTTCCTTTGAATTAAAATGGAATTTCTTTCCGAATCTGTAGAATAATCCAGCAAGGTATAAAGCATTGTGATAGCAAATAAAGTAATTCTTAAGGTAATGTAATATTTGGACGTGGAGTTTGCAGGTTTCCAGAAAAATTTCAAAATTAGTCTAAACGTGAGTCAAAAATCCGTCATTGAATAATCAAATATGATTGTGAAGTTGCCATCGTCTCAGATGTACGTAAATTACTGCTTCATTCAAAGAGAATTTCTTGTTGAGTAACGGAGAAACATATAGCTTGCACAATATACAAGCCACTGCTCGTTTAAAAAAAGTAATATTTTTTAAGCTTCTAAGTCTCCACTTTGATTTTTTGAACTGTCAACAATACTCTGTAATGCGTTTATTAATATTCTTTATAAAAAATATCTCATTAAAGTTTACAAAATATTCAATTTCAAAATTTAAATTTTAAAAGATTTGAAAATTTAAGAAAATAAATATTTACCAAAATTTAAAAAATTATACATGATTTGAAGTTTCCGAAATTGAGATTATGATGAGTTTCTGTAATTAGGTGAATCAAGTAAGTATTTAACTTAGTAATCGCCTCTCTATGGAAATTACAAGAATTTAAAAAATAGAATACATTTTTACCAGATCATGATCATGTCCTGAACAATCACAACTATCTTTCAGTTTCTTGGCTATTCATTACAGTTTGATTTTCAGTTATTACCAAGAAAAAGAAATACCAGTTCCAGGGAAGTATCTGAAGCATTATTTCCACTTACCTCTAAAAGTTCAGTCCATGGACCTGCTACATTGGATCTCTTTGCCAACGATATACTCCTATCAAGTTACACTTGCTGATGGCTAAATTGTATGGCATACTTAATGGCATTCTTATTAATGAAAAAACATGTTTCCATAGAGTTAAGCAGAAACTTTATCAAATCTAAAATATTGCAGTGGGATAACTCTGCTTCTATGAATTTTCTTCCGTTTCATTGTTTTCTGAATAATTATTCGCTTCACATTTCTGACGTTCTCTGCACGTTCTTGCACATACTATACAAATTAGTGTCCTTGAGATCCTAATCTGCTCATAAATAAAATATTACACTGTTGTGAAGACTTCACAGACGAAATGAACCATGCGCCATGATCAGCCATGTGATCGTGAAGCTTGGTATCTTATTGTTTACACGGACATGTCCTTTATTGTTTGCTAGAACGCTGTGAACATATTGGATTTTGTCTGAATTTCGCATGTTTACAAGTAAAATTTTTAAGGATAGATTTGCAGTTTCTCCTTCACATCAGGACAAAAAATTCCGATGACGGTCATTAGTATTGTTGACTAAGTTTTTCAAAGGACAGATTTGTTTTTGAACGCTCCTCAAATGAAAAAACCGCAACAGATGTGATAAGAGTAAGTTAGTAAAGACATTTCTTTACTAACTTACTCTTATCACATCTGTTGCGTTTTTTTCATGAAGTTTCACCAGAATATAATTGCTTCACAAAGTAAATTTCATCTTCTTAAAAATCAATGTACGAGTATTTTATTTCCTCATCATTATCAATTATATAATGTAATATATACGAAATATGTTTAATCATTATTTTCTGATATTTTAAAATCCTCATATTTACGCTATACAGTAACGTTGTGGCCGTCTTAACTTATTTCCTGGACGCCCTTGCGCCCTTCTAGGCGCTCGATCGCTTGTCGCCAACTGCCTTGCTCCACCCTCTACTCATATACTCGTCAGAACCAAGCCTCTTGCCTCTCCCCATCAGGCTACTGTGGGCACAGGGCCACGCCCCCTTGTTTGCCCGAAGCCAAGGATTCACTTCTTCCTTTCCATGAGGAATCTCTGATGAAGTGGTGAAAGTGTTAAAAGGCGAACTGAAGATATCAGAAAGGATGACCATCAATTTTAATAAAGTAATTTGCAAAACCAAATTAGTACTAAGGAATTCTGAACAAAAAATATGTAAACAGACAGGAGATAATAATGTAAGAAAAATGTTGAATTATGCATATGAAAATCTTGGTCATGAAGGCGGCATTATTTGATACTGGCAGCAATCATGAAACAATGCATGATCCCAATCATATTATAAGATTTTTCTTTGTATTCAGCTCCATTCTTGGCATTTTAACTTATAATACAACAAGGAACGAAATAGAGTAGGTTTATTATTCCAAGTACTCATCTCATTAGTAATTAAAACAATTCAAGATGTTTCTATAATAACACATGAATGTGATAAGAAAATCCTCCAAATGTTTATTCAATATAGATATAGCCATCCAACATTGCTTTAGTTCTTTGATAATTGCTAAATAGGATGATAACTAAATATTTTAAGATAGTTTACTAGAGATTCACTCAACCCACAATGCTCATTAAGGGCGTGAACAGAAAAGTATGTATGCGACACCAGACGATCGATTGCACTGAAATAAAGCGAGAAAAATGTCCTTTGTGGCGCTCTATCTTAAATTATAAAGATCTAAGCACATAATATTGTCAATTTTGACATTGTTTGTAGAAGACATTATCAATTGCTCATTTTTAAATTTTGCGGGCTGGTCGGTCTTTAAATTTGGTTCTTACCACGATTTGTCGGGTACTGAGCATCTAAATTTCAGATTCGTGATGTGTCTTAGCCTTGACAAAAATTTGTAAAATGTACATTTACGTTTTGTTCTTTCATTTCAATTTTTGTGTAAGCTAAAAGCATCAGTAATGACCGCGTTTTGAATAAATTCGTAGTTTTCCCATTATTTTTGGACTACAGTTCTAAATTTGTTACGTAAATCTGCAATGGGTCATTAGATTATTTTCTTTTGAATAGATCCCTAGCCATAAATATCAAATTTTTAATTTGTTTTGTATATAACTAATTTATTCCCAAATCCCAATTTTGTTCCAGTTGAGGCCTTTTGAAGATTGAAATCGTTTAATGTTCAGATATTCAAGAACGGCAAATCGACAAGCTACCCACTACACGTGATTAAGACCCTAAAAATTCTAAAACGTACGGTTCACATTATTGCCATTCGAATACTAATCACTTATTCTCTTAAAGCACTTTGTTCTGCGTGTTTGAATCAAGTGGGTAACTTTCAATTCTCCTTTCTTTAAATTATGTGCTTGAAGTAGCCACTTCTGACTGAGTGGCAACTACTGGTGCCCTAATTAAAGATTTGATGTAAATATCTATTCTTCAATTGTTGCATGTTATGTTTAGTTTTATTTATTCGTTGAATCTCTACCTTGGGGATATTGCTATCTAGTTGCCGATCTACAATTGCCCTGTGTCGCCGCGCCAAGAGCGCAAGAGGCGTCGCGCGATCCCACCTGTTTGTCGCTGTGCTTGCACTCGGTGCGGTCGTACCACCAGCGGTTCTTGAGCTTGGTGAGCTCGCCGTTCTCGATGAGCTTCAGCACGGCCAGGTTGATGGCGTCGCGCAGCGGCGACCCCAGCGGCGTCGCGACGCCGAACCCCTTGGCGTCCAGGTTGCGCCCGACCTGCGCACGACGAACGCACTGCTCATCCACGGCCCGACAGGCGCGGCAGGTGGGGAGGGGGGACAGTCACGAGGGGAACACGAATAATCTTCTCCATTGATCCCCTCTATACAGATGTCTCAAAATAAATGTTGCAAACTTCTAAGGCATGAAGAGCGGTTGATGATGACTTTTTGCCAATCAAGAGGTGGTGGGAAATTTTGTATAACAGTGTTACATACATGAGGTTTTCCCATGATTAATAGGCTACTTCTCGTGCACTTCTGTTTAGCAGCACACTTTGTGGTTCAGTCAAAGACACTTAGTGTACTTGCCGAACACACTAACACGAGAAGCTGCCGAACAAGGGAAAGTGTCTCATGGTGGTCATCAAGATCTTCGTTGTATGAGATTCCCCACCACTTGTTCACTGGCAAACATCGACCCCTCTTCAATCATATCAGTTTTGTAACATTTATCCTCAAATACTCTAAAGAAAATGAACAATTTTGCATTTATACGATCATCTAGTCACAAAACCTCATTTGCTGGCTGAATAGATACCCAGGGGCCCATCAGGAAGAGTCTCCTACAACTGCCCACCACGGCTGATGATGCTTCTCGCATCTGCAGTAGAAACGTCTAGGAGTAGGACTTCAACTGGGCCACGGTCTCTCAGCCCGATAAACTATTTAATCATTGATGTACAGTTATAAATTGCACACTCTTTTTGATTTTTTTAAAAAGTCGCATCAACATCTAGGACATTAGCGACCAATATTGCATTTAACAATATGATGACTGAAGACAACCTGATGTGGTGATGATAAGGGGTGAAAGGACGAATATAAATACAACCATGCCCGAGGCAGGACTCGACCCCGCAATTCTTCTGTCCGACATCGCTACGGCACTAGAATCTTAACGATATTGGACGGGCTGAACACTTTTCAACCTCATATTTTGAATGCATAATCCAATAACTATTATCTGTAACCCTTTTTAAGAAAAGTGCGCGCATGGAGAAGAGTGATAATTGGAATAGTTAAAAGTTTATATGGAGAAGGAGAGCAGGAAACTAAAATTTATATGTAATTTATTTAGCATTTTAGATCGATTGTCAGCCTTTGCCGGCTAGTTAACGGTGTCACCCGTGCCTGGAACTAGTTTAATTCCCACGCTGGGAGGGGGGGGTAAGAGAGACATATAACGAACATGACGTATTCCCTTCACCGAAACTAGCGAACAGAAACTGGAGTGAATTTAGAGGAACGTTCCAATTCAATTTTTGTCTCACCCGGAAATCGAACCCGGTATTCCGTAGCATTATATAACTTTCTCCAAACTTCGTATTTTACTTCGTATATACGTATTTCGTATTTGGGAAAGTAAAAATAAGAAACAGATTGTTTATCCGTACGTTCAGTCAGCAAGATGGCCTGTACTTCATGAACCAAATATTCCTTTATCTTCGCCCTCAGATAAACTACAACGTACCTGATGATACTGACAATGAATACTAAAATTGTGATGAATTCTAGTTACAGATAGGGCAAAGTCTAAACTATTTCGACACTTTTCTCTAAATGACTTGATTCGAGTCTTTAGGTCTATTTGAATATTCAGCTGAATGTTTGGTGTCTAGGTTAAAAAATAATAACTTATTGACATTTGATACCACTTTCCCTGGTTCAGGCGTAGGGAAAGAAATTATATACACTTATCTCAAAAAATATTTTTGTTTACTGCAGTGATACCAATGGACGTTTTGATAAGTTTGACTACAGTATGACATGAAAGAGTGAAGGATTTTTATTGACTCATCAAAAAAAAGTCTCTAAAGCAGCGTTAATTCACTGTAGCAACAAGTGCGCTTCTGAACCTGTAGAAAATTTAGTACATATGTAAGAAAGTTATGAAAACTTAGCGTTAATCCTCTTCTACCTGAAATACAATGATTACGATTGGATGAAATGCGGCAATATAATAGTAATAATCAAGCTTAATGGACAGCAGAAATGCTACACTAAAATCCCCTGCTTTTTGTGATAATGGAGTAGCAGAGGTAAGGTTTACCACTGGATTAAAAAAGAGTGGGCTTCTAGGATAAATTTAGAACTAAGGAGCGGAAATATTTTACGAGAAAGTTTGCTCGAAGAAAAAACTCCTTTTACCACTTTATATAAAACCTGGACTAATGAGACAATTTGCAATGGCCTTGCCACAAGAAAGAGAGTGTTTTCAGTACTTGCGCACCAAATTTCCGATACTCTCAGAAACTATAATAAAATAAGTTATTTTCGTGTGTTCTGATATTTGGAAACTATTTGGAGATGAAGTATTTGAAAGAAATGATATTATTCAGAAAAAGTCTTGGACGACATTCAAAGATGTCGTTCAGAAATTTCTTGAAAATTAGAACCCCCCTAATTTAATCCCTTAGAGAACATGTTAATGAAATACGAAGGGCTGTTTAATGAGTCTAAAATTCCATTTCTTACATTATCATTTGTACAACTTTCCCTAAAATGTTGATGCAACTAGCGATACAGAGAGAAGAACAGAGTGAGATATTACACCCAGATGATAAAGAACGCAGAAATCAGGGAGATGAAACGTGAATAAGATTGCTAAGACTACTATTCGATGCTACACAAGGAGCAGCCACTGCTTACAGAAGTGGAATTGGCAAATGGAGCATTGATGAGAAACGAAACTGTACCACAAGGATGTAAAAAGTTAGTAAATTTTTGGAATGATGTTTTTCGTATAAAACTTTGCATATGATCCTTTTAAATTTCATTCGCATTTATATGTTTATATAGTAAGAAATGTATTTATTATTTTCCCTTATGAAAGGTCAGGCGTAACAGTGGTGTAACCGTCCTTCTTTAGAATCTGAAATATTGCACTTCGAAGTTGACATGCTCCAGTTTTTATATTTGTCCTTTACATTATTTTGTTTTAATAATTACTTTTCTGAACATTAGTATTCTTTGTCATACAAGAACAACTATCAAAAGATGAAATGAAAATGGTAAAAGTAATTAAATTCTGTTGCTTGACATAACATAAAATGAATTAGACCAGTGTTACACAGAAGTCCAACATCGAGTGTCTAAAACACATTTTTGATTTTCGAACAAAATGAAAATAATCCTTGAAATTTACCGAAATGTAAATTATTTACTAATGTAATATTACAGAAATTAAAAAATTTGATGGCATGTGTAGGAAATTATTGAAACAAATGTTATAAAAATCATTTTTTAAACAAAGGCAGTTTGATGCCAGCCACGTACGTAATAGCCATATTACAAAATAAATAAAATATTGAGGACAAAATAAAAATAACTACCACAATACACAATATTGTGACATATGCAGGTATGTCAAAGAAATAATTATCTTCGTGGTCATAACCTTCCTGATCTGTTTCGGAAGAGAAACTATTGAAAAAATCACGATACAAGGCTGGTACATATTTTAAAAGTTCTTTGATATCTTTCAATTTATTGGCTTTGATTGAACTTGGAGGTTTGTATTTTACAGGATGAATATGTAGTGCGAGATCAAAAGTGTGTTTCCCTCTTCGTATTTTGCCCTTACTGACTTTTGCTGAACTGTAACTCTCTTGTTCTGACAGCGAATGTTTGAAGTATTTCCATGGATTATCCCCAGTAAGTTCCAAACATGAAATTTTACTAAAATTCACTGCAACCTTATCTGCTTAAGTGAATTTTCTATTGTACATTTTTCCACTATTGTTTCTGCTAAAAGAAAGTCAGTCCTTTCTTTAACCATGAATGGATAAAGATAGATTTTTGATTTTGATATTACAGTAACCCATTATGAGGAAGTAAACACATATTTTGAGGCCCATTTTTTTCTTTTTTCAATACGACCAAAGTCTCTATCACCAGGTAAGTAGCAGATTCCGGAGACAAAATGTTTATGTTCCACAGTTTCAACCAAACGTTTGCAGGGCCGGCTATTGAAGTCCGAGCCCAAGTGGGCAGTTGGCCCGGGGGAAGGGGAGTGTTCCCGACGTCCTCCATCTTCCATCGAAAATGTATATGAAGGGAAAGTTACAAAACATTTTTTTCAAATTGTCATGTTTATTATATAATTATCTTCCAATTACCCTATTTATTTTAAGCAACTTCATCAGTTCATTTTTGCAATAGAAAATCGGCGCTGCGCTTTGTACTTTTTATATAAACTTTTATATTTTACATTTTTTCAAACCTATTTTGTCAGTCTTGTTGCTATAAACACGTAAAGTCGCAGTACTGTTGAGCAGATCTTTCAACATAGTTTATCGAATATATACGTTTTGAGTCGACGCGAGAATCTTAGTCCTTTTTTGAAATTTTATGTTTATGGAATATTTCTCACCTGCCAAATTCCGAATGGGTATTTTACCCTCTCGAAATTTGTCGTGTGGGTACAGCTACCCACCAAATCCATATTATCCTCCGGGCCTGAACGTTTGTGTATAATAGACAACCGAAATGTTATTTGTGCATGTGACTTCACAGGTCAGTTCTCACTGATCGCATTAGGATAGACCACTGATGCACTAGAACGTGTTACAATTACTTCAAGAAAAATTGGCAATGCTGTAAACACTCAAATACTTATTATATTCAATATTTATTGGTTCTGCCACGTAGTTCATAGTTAATGAAAACATATTGTGCAGTTAAGTCAATTTCAACATCAGAGAAGGTTAGACCACTGCTGTGCTGAGCTTTTCAAGTACAGTTTGTAAAAAACCTTACGTAATAAAAAATAATGAGGGTTACATTCGAAATCAGCATACTAAATTCTGTAAACTATAGATAAAATTTCACAAACAATTTTCGATAACCTGAATTTTGCGGTTCCCTAATATAGGGCACCTTTTAAAATAATATGTATTTCAAAAATAAACCTTTTTCTTGCATACTAGTAATTTTATTACCAACACTGAATATATTTATTGCAATGACATTCATTTACATTCGTTATCTGAGTACCAACACTGCCCGGTTTCATGAACTATAAAAACTTTTATTATCGACATAACTATACAAATATTGATTACGAATCTTTATCAAAATCAACCAACGTTTCAGAAAATGTTGTCAAGTATAGTAGTTGCAGATCTTTTCAATCACACTGTAAATTAGTTTCGCTTCCTGTAATATTTATCTAGCAGAAACACGTACACACAGTTTGTAATTTTTCAATGCAAAGTCAGACACGTTAGCCCTTTCTTGTAGAAACTTCTAGAAATAATAAAACAATTAGTGGTAAATAGTTCTTCGTAGGTTTCTAAAGATGTATAATTAGAGCTAGACTACTAAAAACTGTTTCATACTTCGAGGAAGTTTATTCAAGAGATTGTTCTAAAAAACTGTTCAAAAGTTACTTATTGTAATTTTTGACATTTTTAAAAGGTTTAACTGAAATGTCGTATATATCATGTCATTTGATGTGTTGTGCACTCTACTATAAAATGTTTAGATTCGTTATCCTTAACACATAAGTAGTAACGTGTGAGAAATTAATTTCACCTCTATTGCGTCCGCTCGGGGGGGGGGTTGGTATGGGGCGCGTATGGGAGGGCGTACCTTCATGGTGTCGCAGGGCTCCCGCTCGTTGGTGTAGTCGTTCTTGGGCGACTCGATGAGCAGCGCGTACTTGCCCTTGGAGGTGCGCACGCGCCGTATGCCCTCGTCGTAGGTGCGCACGAACACGTGCTTGCGCGAGTTCATGAACTCCCACATCTTGCTGTACAGCGTGATCTGGGAGCGCTGCGCACACAACAGAAAGCGTCGGTTTAACACGCGTTCCGTTTCGGTGGGCCTTCACCACCATCCTCCCTACAATTATTAACAGGGAAGATATACAATTGAATTACGTAATGTTTTTAGTAAATAATTATTATGCAAAATTCTATTATGGGTTCGTCGGCTTCCGCGGCCGGAGTCAATGTATTCTTGGCTATCCGGGATGAGCCGCGTCTCAGTTAGTTGAGACGCGGCTCATCCCGGATAGCCAAGAATACAAAATTCTAGTAATTGTATTTGTAGTCACTGAAATTTTCTTACTTTGGATCCCATTTTATATATATTATATTTTTGTATGCCAGAGAAAATACTTCTAATCCCTGCATCAATAAGAAAGAAAGTGGTTAAATTTATATCTCTCACTTGCGGATGTGTGAGAAGTCAGATTCGTAACACGCAACAAGGTATTTTCATGATCATTTATCATGACATTTTAACATGGTAAATGATCATGAAAAGGGGTGGTAAATCGTAAAAGTGCCACGCCAGAAAATTTTTAGATTATTCATGGAAAATGGTATTTGTATCTTCGCCAGTAGCTTTCTATCTGATAGAAGTGTGTCCTACCCTCAATTGTTTCCAGGTGCCCTAATTGAATATAGTATTATTATTATTGTTATTATTATTATTATTATTATTAATAATATTCTTATTATTATTATTCGCGTAAAGGCCACTAATAACCACGCAACACATTTCCCTCTCCGAGACACAGATATCGTATATATTCAAATATGGAATACATAAATATAAAAAATCACAAGATCAGCACTCTTTCTTGAGTTCAAGTAATATTCGCTTGTCCTCATGGGATAAAAACTAATCAATCAATCAATCAATGAAAACGAAGAATGGAATTTTTACAACCTTTCCAGTAAGGGTATACATCTGTACATTATTGATAAAGTATAGGAATTTCAAAATATGCAGCGTTCCCATACATGCACTGCGAATAAGAAATAGGATCTTCTAGCTACGCTTTCTTTAATGAACGAAAAACATCATGATTTGTTAGTGAATCACATTATATACTTTAATGTAACCGAATGTTGTACTATAAATTCTGAAAGTGGAATGAATGTGCCTTTCATTTGTAACGTCTACCCATGACACACCATTTTCTGTGAAACTCACAATTGCACTTTTATCTTTTACGAAAATGCAAACTTTGATTTTGTCGTTGAATAACTTGAAACGTCTGTACCAATTACTTTGTTATATCAACCAGATATTAAATTATTGAAAATTTATTATTTTTACGATTTTGTGAAGGGTAGGGTCCACATTTCTTGACAGACGAATTCTTGTAACTTTAATTTATTTTATAATCGTGCAGCAGTTTTGAGATATCTTGTCCCCATCATCAGGCTGTAAAATTGAATTTTGAAACTGAACATATTTAAAATAGAATTGAAATAAAAGAAACTGTTGCATGATTGTAGAATCGATTAAGGTTAAAAGTATTTCTCTGTCAAAAGATAGGGACACTAACCCTTCACAAAATCATAATTAATTAATACAGACAAAAAGATGAAAATAAGTATTATTTTTACATCGAATAAGTGATTTGCATTCCATTGTGGTTTACACGTTTCTGGAAAAAGAAAAATTCGGTAATTATATCATTTACGTGATCAATTCTCAAATATATTTCCCCGTAATTTTTAGAGTGAGTGGAGTATTCTTTCAAATCACCTTCATTGAAATCAGAAAGAGTCTTAATTTATATTTCAGACGCATCTTTGTGTACAACAAGATGAAATTCTGGCACGGTAATTTCTCACGAGTAAGGCACTCCATTCTTAGATAAGTTAAGCAGAATAAAACTCCGTCCATCTTCAGGGAATATTATGCTGTGTTTAAATTCTCATTTTCAAGTGTCATCATAAGAGGTATTAGGAAAGATCTAATAGACAACAGAATTGGAATACATGGGATGGACACATTACCCTACACGTTTTCTCTTAAATGAAGGTAATACAATTGAATACAGATGTAAGAAAGTGTTACTATTTATCATAAATACTCATGATACCTCTTATGATGACACTTAAAAATGAGAATTTAAACACAGCATAATATTCCCTTAAGATGGTCGGAGTTTTATTCTGCTTAACTTATCTAAGAATGGAGTGCCTTACTCGGGAGAATTCGTCGTGCAAGAATTTAATCTTGTTGTACACAATGATGCATATGAAATAGGAATTAAGACTCTTTCTGATATCAATGAAGGTGATTTGAAAGAATACTCCACTGACTAAAAATTACGGGGGAAGATATTTCAGTTTCTCTCTGAAATCCGCGTCAAGGGCCCGTTCGTCTTCCTCGCAGCTGTGGTTCGGTCTCACGCACCCTGAAGAAGTCCCAGGTGGAGCCGTGGTAGAGCGTGCCGTACTGGACCTCGGTCTGCGAGGCCAGGTCCTCCGGCGAGTTGATGGGCGCCACCATCCTCTCCACCGTGAGGAAGGCGGCCAAGTTGGCTGTGTACGAGGATATGAGGATGAGGGTGAAGAACCACCAAACACTCCCCACGATGCGCCCAGATATGGATCTGCCGAAAACACATCAAGAACAAAAGATAAGACAAAAGTTGCAATAAAAACTGAGACTCATGCAATTTTTTAAAAAAAATCAAAGTTATATATTTTTTACAGATAGGTATGCATACATGAATACGTAATATGATAAGGAAAGATGATAGTTTTATTCGATTTAAAAGAAACAGACGACAAAAAAACGAAAGTGCACTATTACTGGATAGGTAGTTATCTAACCAGAGTGTGACAAACAAATTAAAGGTAAAAATTGTAGGATTCCCCTCAGTATGTGATAAGGAAAACATATGCGTGCATGGAACCCGCAACATCAATTAACAGACGTTGATTTTGGGGATAACTACAACGATTAATACTAGACCATTCAAAACTATTTGTTTCTTATTTTTAATGTACAAATTAACACAATTGGATGATCTGTTATATCTTTGGAGGGTAATAGTTCTGTGAGCAACATTGAAGTATGAAGCAAGTATTTGAAATTGCAGAATGTTGGCAAGGCATTAAAAACAAATATTTCAAATATCGTGTAAAACATTCGCAATTTCTCATGGTAATTACAGTTATGAAATGTTTACGTAACTACAATAAGACATAACATAATATATTTGTTTTTGAACATGACCGTTTATAAATACATTTTGCTTGCATCTCTCAGATTTAATTAAACTTTCAAGAAGTACCATTGTAGACAGTTTGTGTTCTATTTTAATAACATGTGTTTTTATTGGTAAACAAACAGTTCCTTTTAAATTAGACATTCAGCGTTTAATACAAAAGTAATTTGTCTTTTAAACCTTCATTACAACTTGTCAGTTGCCAAATTTTCGACCATATGTATTTTAGTCATCTTCAGGTCTGCACATTGAAGACTGAAACTTAGACTAAACGTTCTTAACTGCCAAGTTATAATAAATATTTAAAATACAGAATAAATTACTTTTGTATTAATAGTTAGAAGGAACTGATCGGTTATCAATAGTAAATAGTCATTCGTATAAATAATAAAATGTGTGTATTATACGAGTCAACACTAGTACGGTCCACAGAATATTAGCAAAAATTAATTTCTTTATAATTTTGTCATCAGAAGCATTGAAACTCCTTTTCGTAATTTTTATATTTCGTCGCAGCCTGTCTATCTCTACAAATTGACAAGAATTTCCTTAACTCTCAGATCTGTTGTTTACTGGCGTCTCATTTCCCAGAAAATGCATTGGAATTTTGAAGGCCAGCTGGCGGTTTAAACACAGACCGTACGCGTTACAGTACTGTCATAATTTCCACGTCCATTCACAAATATTTTTGTTTAATCATTTTTAGGTATAAAAAGTTTATGTGCATTTCGAAAATACTTAGAACTATCTTTAGATCTGTTAGTCACTGTAAGCACAATCTCCTCGACGTTAAATAATTAGAGGAATCAATAAACTACTGTGCAGAAAATACGTCTTTCTCAGCAAATCGCCATTTGTTAATCTAATTGTGGAGAATACGGTGATTTTTTGTAACATATTGCATTCAAATGAAGTAAATACATCTTCGTATTTTTATTTTTTTCCGTTTGATTCAACAATCTCGTTCTATATTTTCATTAGGTAATTTAATGCATGTTACAATGGATAACACACACGAAAAAATTACAATTGTTTATTATATACAGGTGTCCGGGGAGGAAACGTCGAATTTACGCCCAGTTTACACATTTCGACTGCTTTTTTTATTTTTACGCTTATTTTTCTTTCTGAACAAAATATATTTATTTTGTAAACATTAAACAATTTTCATGTTTCTGAAGTGTTTCTATGCGTCTGCAATACTAATTTTAGTCAACAAAGCATTTTTTCAAATCAACTTTTGAGTGTTTATTGCGGCTCAACTGTGCGTAATATCCCAGTAGTTTATTAGACAAAATATGGTTAAAATTGTCTTAAGAACTTATTTGTGAAGTTTCAACGTTTCCTCCCGGGACACGTGTATATCGTAAATGGTGCCAGGAAAGAAGTGCTAAGGCAGTTAGAACGTTTCCCGTCGCAGCGCTTCAGTCGTGAAGTCTCCCAGGGCAGAGGCCTTGACTGTGTGCCAGTGTAAGACGCACCTGGGCGAGATGTCGCAGCCCTGCTGCATGAAGGCCCCCAGCGCGAACCAGAGCGAGTTGAGGATGGAGAAGTCGTTGGCGACGGAGGCGGGCGCCCCGCCGGCCGCCGCCGCCGCCGCGTGCGCCTCCTCGGGGTAGTGCAGCAGCCGCCACTCGTAGGGCGAGAAGCGGGACACGATGAACAGCACGATGCTCACGCCCACGTACGAGAAGATGACGCACACCCAAATCTCCTTGCTGAGCGGGTTCAGGAACGAGAACACGCCCGGCTTCTGCTTCACCGGCTTCTTGATCATGATGCTGATGCCCAGCGACATGAAGGGCTTGCTGAAGTCGATGACGCGCTCCCGCTCCGACGTGATGGTCATGGACGCGATGGCGATGTCTGCCTCCTGCGCGGGCAACGCATGTGCAGTGTCAGTCACTGCAGCTCGTAAAACATGCGTTAGAAACCCCGAACACAAAGGAAGCATCGATGGTAAATTGTGTTTAGCAGCAATTTAATTTTTGTTATTTCGACTGAAAATTGTCAGCATAATCGCTTTATTAGTTTATGTATTATTGCTGCGTAATGTAAAATCTCTATACGTACACATTGATTTACTTTTAGGTCATAATTTCAAAACATTTTTGGAGGATTTTAGCATCATTAATTAACTATTTTAGTAGCATGGAAGCTCAATGGTAATTAGCATCTGTAACTGAAGAAATTCTTCAAACTTATGAGATGCACTTAAGACCACGGCCTTGGTTTTAAAAAGACATTTCTCAAATATTAACATTTCTGAAAATAACTTCTAAAATTTTAAAATATTTTCTGTGGAAGGGTTGTGAGGTGTTTTGATTCATTTTTGTAACACATTTTTCCAATCAGAAAAATTGCAGTTAATGGCGTCAAAATAGCGATTTACCCTTACTTTTAAGCTCAGGGTTTTTCTTTTTTGCTGAGGTATTCTACGACTAGCGGAATTCATTACATCTCTTCCTAAGCGCGTGTCACATTCAAACAAAATTTCACATATTTAAAGTTGAAGAGGATTTAAAAAGAAACGTTTACTGTGACATCTTTTTATTTATTTCTTACTTTCACCTAACAAAAAGGTTTTAAATCTGAAAGATAATATCTTAAATATTTTTATTTCTATTAAAATATTTTGCAAATTTCATTTTAATATAAAAATATACCTTTTCAACTTTACCAAACAAAACTTGAAAGAAAATACTTTTATAAAACTGGATAAAAGCCGTATTGCGATATCACGCGTCAATTTCCTCCTAGAACTTTTATATTTCCAAAAACTAAATTTTCCCCCTCCCTTTGTTTTTAATTAAAAAAATTTCGGATCACGTAAATCACATAACAATCTCAACTTTGGTTAAGAACCTTTAAAAGTCTCAACGGGTTATAAATTTATCATTCTTCCAAAAACTTAATCAAAAACATTACGCACTCTATTAATCACAAAGTAATTTCGAAGGCAACGCTTTCTGCTTATCTTTGTACTTCCCCTCGCGCAGTATGTTTTCATTAACTTGCGCGTCGCCTTACATTCTGCGTTAACCTCTCAACGACTTCCCTCCCCAGGGCTCCATCTCTCCCCCCCTGCGCGCTCTTTGGCTCACCTTGCGCACGAGCTCCCCCACCATGCCGTCCCAGCCGCCCTTCACGTCGGGGTTCTCGGCGCCGTACTGCCCGTCCTTCACGATGCGCAGTTCATCTGCAGCACGAGCGAAACGGGAAATACATTTTCATTCACAGTACTTTTCTTGCATTTGTTCACATTTCAGAAAAGAGCACAATGCACTGCGTAGAAGGGACATATTCAGTCTGTCAACCACATCAGATTTGCTAATCATGAAAAACAAATGTAAATATTAATTTTATTAGTAATGGAAAATTTTGGTTTATCCTTAGCCAATACACAAACTGCATAATCAAGCAATAAAAAATTTCGGGAAGAAAAACGTTCATACTGGTTTACAAATATGAGAATTTTAACTAGTAAAATCTGCAATTCCTCTCTCAAGGCAGGAGAGTTAGTACATTTTCAAACCACCCTGAATACCAGTATCTTTCGTATTTCAAGATCATTCAGGCAATTGTTAGTTTTAATACTGTTATGTTTCTGAATTTATGTACTAACTGATGGCATGTTGACGAGACTTAGTTCTTTAATAGGTTTTGTTTCCAGAAAACTGATTTGTCAGTGTCACTTTTCCATCTTAACATAGTTTACATTAATATCTCAAGACTAAGGTTTCTATCATAATGAAAGAATGTAGAAGTGTTGTTCAATTTACATTTTTTCAAATTACTACTTCAAGTTCACTTGTATGCAAAAGGAGCATAAAATTATACGATGCCTCTAATAATAACAGTTCGATACAACAAGATTCAAACTTTGATTCTGAAGAGCAATTGAATTTTCGTGTTTGTAATGAATACGTACAATTGATGCCCAGCCAATTAGCTATGAGATCGGCCAGATCCTTGCAGTAGCCCTCAAACCTGTCGTTGCCCGTCAGATTTTCTCCTGGCTCGGGCGTCCGTAACATGATGTAAGGCTCCTCCTGTAAAATATCAGAAGATTGCCATTACAACCCACACTCATCTTATATATCTCATAACATTCGTTTCTTGTGACAGATGAGGCAGTAAACAGCAAACATCATTCCTTTCTCAAGATATTTTTGGTCAATAAAAATAAGAAATCGATTTTATTTTGTAATTGTTTTAATAATTTCCAATCAGTATAATAATATAGGTTTAACAGGGGAAGTAGTGAATCAGTACCAATACTATTTAATGACTCACTAATGCTATTTAAGTATTTGAATAATAATCCACTTTTCTGCTTATAAGAATGTTTTAATATTCTCATGAAAAGTATTCACTGAATAAAAATGTATTTTATTTTAGTAAGAACTACTATTATTATAGTGTATGTTGACGCATATGTGCTTTTGGCAAAAAAATCATTTAATTTTCGTATTCTCAGTGCCTAGCTAATTGCTACAACGCAAAGTTGCCACTTATGGCATTCCAAGACAGTAAATCGTTCAAGAGGGCACGGAATCTTTGAAGACTTTTAAAAGCAATAAAAAACATGAGCAAGATTATTCCAAAATTGTCATAGAGGCTTCGAGAGTCCCGAGAGAGTAATTAATATTTTCTTTTGTTTTATAATAATAGAGTCTGTTGTGAAGTGAAAAAACCACAAAAAAGTAATTATTTAGTATGTTAAAGAGAAATATGAAACACCAAGGGAGAAAGTCAAAGGTTAAAGGTTTGCTGAATGTGATGATAGCTACGAAAGGGAAGGGGAGGGGGAGGGGGGGAGACGCACCACAATGGTAGTGACGATGTAGGTCTTGTTGCGCTCGATGTCGTGCTTGAGGCGCGTGTACTTGGCGGCAACTGCGTTGAAGCCCGTCTCGTCCGACCACTCGGCCACCTTCACCATGGCGCTGTTCACCGTCATCTCCACCACGTGCAGCGTATAGTTCTGGCGGCGGCCGTCCTCGTTGAAGCGCACCTCCCCGGTCAGCCCCTCCAGCTCCACCTGCGGAGAGGACAGGCACCATAGTCACATCCCCCCTCTCCCCCCCCCCACACACACACAGCGGAATTAGGAGTCGCGCGACTTTTATTCACGTCTGAGCTCCCTAGTGCTCACTACGGCACGACCAGGGCCCTCCAACTCCCGTATAACGTGTCGGAAACCATTACGGTGGCGCGCTCTCCTGTAGAACCTTCTCACAGGAACTAAAATACGAACTGCTGCCAACAATACTTTCAACGTGCGTGGCTGCTGCGTGAGTTCGCAAGCAGGCCCACAATGTTACAAAAAATAGCGCCGATCTTCGCGCTTTCTTCAGGGGTTTCTTATAGATATATATTATGAATAATTGAACATTTAAAAGATCCTTTTTCCTATTTCTCACAAATTTGCCAATTTTTTTATGTGCGAAAGTTCGCGAGCCTAACTTGCAGTTGTTCCTGGCGACAGTAGCGCCTCCTAGAGTAGCACCCTCCACCTTTGTCCCTGATTTTGATGAAGAGTTGCAGGGCCCTGAGCACGACTCGGTGCGGTCTGGTCAAAACCTTGGTCTCGCACGGAACGGCACGGTAAGATTATCACGGCTGCCTACCACTGCTTTCGAATGAATTCAGTTCTCGCGTTTTCGCTGTTCTTTGCTGTGCCCTGTGATTTATGTGCTATTTTGTACGATGATATTTTGCGTCCCTCTTGCCTTTACGATTCGGATTTTGCTCTATTTTATCGTCTATAATATCATGTTGTATTAAAAGCGAAAGAGGCGCGAATAGTATTAATAGTGTTGCAGTTGGCAACACCCATCTGATGTGATGTAGGCGGTAGCCTTCACCCCGCGCTGCGAGACGTCAAGCAAAGTCACGCAACTAGTAAACTAGTAAACTACTTGCGATCATTTTGAACACTGTAAACCATTTAATGACCTTCTAAAAATGAAAACAACAGCGAACTGGCTACAGACCAACCAAATATTTTACAGGTTGGAAACACTTGGCGTTTTAAACCAGTGTTATATTATTACGTAATAGTTCCAAATAATATGAAATAGTACCTGCAGTTATGTATCATCAGTTTTTTGTCATAAATCTGTTTTATGTAGTATTAGAAAGTACATAATTTCCAGTTCAACAGTAGAAGCCTATTTTGTAGGCTTTTGATGGTTTCTTATCAAAGGTACTAAATCATGATTTTCCTTTAGTGAATTATATGCAAAGGTAATGATGCAGTATACAAGACAATATGTGTATAGTGAACTCAAGATACAGAAATGTGTCTACCCGTTGCGGAATTCTATCCCCAAAAAAACGTTCGCTCAAGGCGTACGTGTTTCCACCATAGAGTAGCATATAAGTAGCTACTATTTGTCATAACTTAGTTTTCAGTTAAATCTCAATTATACATTAACGTTAATTATTCATTTACGTTCCCACTGTCATTTTAAATTTTGTTGTGCAGAAATTTTATGATAGTTTACAAAACCAGCGTAAAAACAACGATGTTTAAAAACAGATGATTTTTCGTCGATGCACTCTTAACATCGATGTCTTAATTACGATTAGGGGCAGATTTTAATGAAATGTCAATTTTTTATTTTCACTTTAGAACAATGTCGTTTTGTGTAAAAATTCATTTTATGTTATGACGAAACAAAGTGACCCATTTTTATAAATCATTTGTTTGCATTTTTCGTTGATTTCGAATAATAAGTCTTTTTTGCATTTTACGTATTTTTACTGCATGTTTTGCTAATTTCATCGATTTGAATACCATTTAATGATTCTTGCTTCAACCAATATTTAGTAGGTGTAACAAATGTTCACCTCAGAATTCCTAAGAATCAAATTCGATTTCGTCACTCATATATTGTAATGTCAATCGTTGTGAGAACTATGTAATCAATGGTTCCTGTGACGTTTATCTGCGGTATTGTTAGTTCGGCCGATTTCGCGATAAATAAAGGCAGCGAGTTTCTTTTAGAGAAAAGTCCAAACCAATAGTTTGCAAGCTGAGTTCATTTTAACAAAAGGAAGTATCCTCGATTACATCTGTAACATATCCAACAGCTTAAATTGTGCATCTGAAGTGGTTTTGGTCAAATTTTTTACGTCATTTTTCTTTGTTTTAAGCCTTTTTTTAAAGCATTTCAAGAGAATTTTATTGATCATTTTTGGCAATGTTTTGGGTTATAAAATTCCGCCCCTACTTAATATATACTTTTTATCTATATTCTACGTATTAATTTTATCCTATTTGACTAGATCGTACGATGTATAAGAACTTACAATTACCTTAATTTAAATGTTGATCCAACTCCTTATTTTGCTAGTTTTACTATACGTATTGATACAAAGTCATCGTATACTTTACAAAGATACGCTGATATAACCTATCCTCAAGATACTTCGGTTCATAACTTTCCAGCCAGTTAGCTTCACGAAATGTATAAAAGTTTCTGATGGAAAAGTAGCATACGTCTATAACAAATTTTCCGAAGGACTCAGTTCCTTTGAATGAAAGAAAAAAATCGCTGTATTTGAAGGCACAACTTTAAACATTTGTGAACGATGGAGTGATTCAAAGAAAATATTCCTTAAAAATTAGTAAAGACAAACTGCCGTTTTCATATAAACAACATTCTCTAAAAGGGATCGTTTTCATAAAGATAAAATATTTTGACAGAAAAATAAAAAAAGCATAGCAAAGCAATCACTCATGTAGTATATATTTGATAAAGTTTTAACAACTTGAAAAATGTTCATGAAAACATTTTATTGATCGTTTTCCGCAATGTTTAAGACCATCAAAATCCGCCCCCTAATCAAGACCCTCGATGTTGGACAACGCGAATGTTTTTTGAATTGAATTTGTCTTATTTTACGTGGCGTGACACGGGCCATTAGGCCCGCTCTTCCGTCTGACCACGCAAATTTCGCTACGCTCTTTTCACCAACTAGCGGAGAAAGAAGGTATATCTTGGGCGAGAAACAGGCGATTTTTCGAATTTAGCTCAGAGGCGTCATTTAGGCTTGATCTTTTATATGCAAGTAAATATACTAACATGGGACAGCCGGCTTTACTTCCTCTCGGAAGGAAGGCGTACGAAGGACTTTTTCGCCCTTAAAAATCCACGGCTTCGATCGGGTCTGAACCCGCCAACTATGGGTACAACAGTCCGGTACGCTAACCGTTACACCATCGCCGCCGTCAAGTTTGTCATGTTTGGAAGTGGCGTGTCCGGCGCGTCCGCACCTTGCGCAGCACGCGCGCCGTCTTGTCGCCGTGCTCCCAGCGCGACGTCTCGCCGCGCGTGCAGTCGATGCCGCGGGAGCCGTTGTTGAAGATCTGGCCGCGCCGGAAGTTGCTGCGGAACTGGTCGGGCTTCTTGCGCAGCATCTTGTTGAAGCCCTCCACCAGCACGAAGACGGCGTCGTACATGAGCGCCGCCTGCGCCTGCCCAACAACAACCAGCTCTTGACCACGCCGCCAACCAAAGAGTTCATGAAGAGGGTGCGTGTTGGCATCAAAATAACATACACTAACAATAGTTTTATAAACAATAAATAGGGTTGTTATTCATATCATATTGACGTAAATAGGTACTCAGATATAAAATGTAATTAATTAAAAATAAATGAAAAGGTATATGATAAGATAAAAAATGAAGATTTCGCGAAAAATACATTCAAACATTTAATTAAAAACAATATTAATTTAATAAAATTCTATAGCAGTTACGTTCCTCTCCAAATGTTTACTTAATTGTTAAAATAAAAATAAATATTATTCCGAAATGATAATTCATTACTCTACTAGATCATACATATCCATTCGTGGCTATAGGTCAAACGTGCTGTAGTGTTGAATTGAATGGACATAATTAAAATATTGTGTTAATGTAAGTGCAATTTAAAAATCAAAATGAATCATACATGAGTAAAATTATTCAGACATATGTATACCTGAGGTTCGAAAAATATATTGTAAACCTACACGCTCATGTACAATACATAGTGAAAAGTTTTACTGTTTTTGTATTATTATTGCATCACACTAGAATGTGTCTCTAACCGAAAACAATATTTTGCGGTAAGTTCATGATAAACGACAAACTTGTATGTAATGCATCAGTTGACTTGTGACATCTCCCGCTTAGCATCATCATCAGTCACTAGACAAAGACTGATTAGTGATGACCAACGTTACCAAAATAATGCATTGAGAAGAACAATGCAGTTTCTGTAAACTTTTAGTTGAATAGATGAATGATTTCTTTTAGAAATGGAGAATAAAATAAAGCCGCAAAACGTGTGCTTGCCTCTTATAGGAAACGAAAAAGACCCGTTTCTGATTATACGGAATTTTCGTGAGAGTCGCGTGGATCCTAAGTGCTTAACAGCAGTCTTTACGGAGTGTGAAATGACTTTTGGCACCAAGAGCTTGAGGTCCAAAGGTGAGTGAGTCAGTATTTAGTGCTTTCGGGACCATTAGTCCCTTGAGCGTATGGCCTGCAATAGCCCGTAAGGGGAGGTGTTCTTTCTCCTGGAACGTGAGATTCACCTACACCAGGTTGGAAGTTTTCCCGTCCGAACATATCCGCGAGTGTGGCTCTGGTCCAGCCTGGACAAGCTATAGGTTACCTATTGTTCTCCCGAAATGTGTGGTAGTGTAATTAATGTAAGTGTAAATGTTTGTGAAGGGAGGACAAGGAAATGGAAGGAAATATCGTGCGCGGTACGCGTGGCCTTTTTGTCTGGGTACTGATCCGACGTTCGCCTGTAGATCGGAGAAACCACAGAAAACTACAGAACAGAGTATCCGGGTTCGTTAGAATTCTCTGGCAGAAGGTGACTGAATTCCACATAGCTACGTAGCAGCTAGCGTGGGAAATCTGCCAACGTCAGAACTCCAACGCTAGAACCTCCTGATCAGCGACGCTACAACAACAACAGTTGCCACTGATGGTGAAGCGCATGAGTCTGGACGTAGGCCTGGGCTTGATATTGGGCTAGGGTATGGTTAGAAGCGAGGGCCTGGGCGTGGTCTGGGTCTGGGCGTGAGACGGGCGTGGCCCTAGGCTTGTGCCTGGCGTGGGCGTGAACCCGGGGGTGGTTCTGGAGGTGCGTCCTGGAGGGCGAAGGGCTGGGCGTGGGATTGGACCTGGGCGTCGACTTCGGTCTGGGTCTGGAAGTGGGTCTGGGCGTGGGCCTGGGCGTGAGCCATAGCCTTGTCGTGGCCCTGAGCTTGGGCCCGGGTAGACATCGGTCTGGGTCTGGGCATGGGTCTGGTCGTGGGTCTGGGTGTGGGCCCGGGCGTGGGCCTGGGTCTGAGCCTGGGCCTGGGGCACCCACCGAGATGGACTCGCGGCCCGCGCCCTGCGCCGACGACGGGTCGAGGCGCTTCCATCCCTCGAGGAAGTCCTTGACGTAGCGCCGCGACGAGTCCACGATGCGGAAGCCGGTGATGTTGATGGCGCCGTACTCGATCACCTCGCTCTCCCACCGGTCGTCCATGATCTGCAAGCCACAAGACACGATCACATTCCTTGTCCCCTTAACGCTCGGGCAAGGGCGTCTCCTGCTTTTCACACCAAAAGTAACAATACTGCGCTAAAAGTATTTGATTTCGCATATTTTATTTACATTGATTTGTTACAGTAGTGAATAGTATACAATAGGTATCGTGACAGAAAATACGAACAGAAACAAACACAACAAAAACAGAAAATATGAAAATATCGTTTTCCGAAGATACCCGTCGATCTATTCCTTTCCCCATTCCTCTTTACCCGTTTTCACATTTTTATTTTCATTATCTAATCTTATTTTACCATGCGATAAAGTTTATTTTATTTCACTATTTGACTTATTTCTCTTTTTTCCTCAGTACTGACTACTTTTCCAATTACAATTCTATATTTAAAAGATATAGTACCTATTGAAAGATGTTTCACTTATTCCAGAAAAGAATCTCAATCTATTTTTTTGAATTATATGCAATTCTTTTCTTCTTGGAACATCTGATACAGAAGATACAAACCTGCAGCACACCACTTTCTTAGAATAGAAATTACTTCGATTCTAAAACGTACAGAAACAGTGGAGTATTTATAAATTAAGATGCTCCTTTAATTCGCAAGTGTAACGGTACCATGCCCTGAGTATATTTTGTTCTTCTTTCGCGACTGGTTTTCGCCCGTAGTCACGTTCCGCAATTTGCATGCATGAGATGCCCTCTTGCAGAATCTTTCCGCGTGCTCAATGAGGAGGAAATGAACGAAATTGCACTACTCCGGGTAATGCATTCTATTGGAATTTGAACTAACGATTGAGGAAAGAGCGGGAAGATCCAACAAAGAACGATATTATAGGAATGCTACTGTATAATGTAATTTTATTTTTACTACTAGTAGTTTATTACTTTACGGATACATATATCGATTATTAAGTGAGAAAATTAGTATGCTCGTGATAATATCCCTTCTGTCTGTTTAAGCTTTGGTAAAATGATACTGAATTTCGCCACTCTCGTTTATAAGAAGAGGGAACAATGTTTCTTTGGTATTGCTTTTCAATATGAATTACTTTCGACATTTGTCAGAAATAAAAATGACATCTTAATGAATTACATTTTTATACACCATAATAAATGTCTATCTACAATTTCCGAAGCAGAGGAAAAAACTGATTGATATATCCTTAACAAATAGTGACATATCAAAGAGAAGCAATGTATGATATCAATACTAATCAATGAATGACCATGTGAGTAGTAATATTGATCCAAACATGTTCTACTTGCTGATTTTGTATTATAATAGAATAGCTTAATTAAAGTGCATGGCCGATGCTACCAGATCCTGCACTGACATAGTGTCTTGAAGAGAGCGGCTGGTTTTAATATTTCCCAACATGGGTGTAATCTACTTTTTGGTGACCTCGAGCGGTACGTTGTGAAGAGTACTCATATTAAAAGACCACAAAGGTATATATCCACACAAGGTCACTTTAAATTCTCAAATTGCTTATAATAAAAACATATTTTAATGAAATTTCGAGTTATCGGATTTAAACTGTATGTGATGGGCTGAATTATTTTGCTTAAGTGTACAATACTCACCAAGCCGCTGAGTAAATAGTGGTATGTGCGCTTCCCCAAGGTGACGTCACGCACATGACTCACCACAATTTCTTTTGCCATATCAGTAGGGCAGTCCAGCACCACGTATTTATGACCCCATCTAAAAACAATTATTATCACTGCAGAACTTGTAGAATGAAAATACTTAAAGAAGTAGCAAAACTCCCAAAAACTTATTTTACATTTACGATTCAGATATGATATAGATGGATTGTGTTCAAATTTAACAATTATTATGCGATTTGTGACATTTATCCTTCAAAGGTGATTGATCAATTTCTCCTAAAATAATTTATTTTTTTAAATGTGAATACATTAATCTAAAACGTCGATAAGATAACTTGCAAACTATAAGACCTACTACTGCTAATTGGCAAAGTAGTATATACAGTTTTGTAAATTGAATCAAAGTAAAACAGCATTTTTAACTTACCGGATGGCATCTGTAAGAGACACTTGTTAATCAACCTTAAGTTTAGAATGAAATTGTGAGAGTCCGAACAACATTTTAAGATTTTTATTATTAATATTAAGCAACTGCTCTAAAATGTAAATGCATATAAATGTCCATGTACTTGATTTTTTTTCATTTTTAAGTGAGAAGAGCAGTTTTAGCTTGTCCTTTCCTTATTAAAAGAAAAAAACTTAATGAATGGATGCGGAAATGACATGGAGATAACAACGTTCGCGGATCTTTATCCACTTGTACACTCCAAACGTATGAGACACGATGTATTGCAAAGAACACGGTAGTACATAAGGTTCCCTTTTATAACATGTAATAAGACGTAGAAGTGATTCCCTCAGTTCCGCTGGTTGCCGCAAATGAAGGTCGGGCATATAATTCTTTCTCCTCTGACATTTCGCTTTGACGTCTCTCGGTGCTCCGTAATGCAGCTTAAACGGAGATTTCGCAATAATAAACATCAAACGACATCGTGCGAGATGCATTCGCAAGCGCCTAACAATATTAAACTTCACCTCGTACGGAAGTTCAATGCGCGCGGTTCCTCTTAGTCAACACTCCCCGCCAGCGCATTACTTCTTCTTAGCCAGTCTAGCGAGAGAAGTGCTTGTGTTGTTCCAAGTCCCTCCACGTCCCCACAAGAAGGTACACTTCTAGTTAGATCTCCTACTTACGCAAGATGGTTAAAAAAATAATCCCACATGTGCACCCGAAATTGTCTATGTCACCTATAATTCACTTTGCTGCGTAAGTTGTCTAATGGGTTATATTCTGAAGGACAAATGACAAACATTTCATGGTGTTCATTATGTATTACTATCTTATTTAGCTGATATGGTTATATTCTCTCACAATCATTTTATAACAAATTAATCAATCAACTTTGAGAATATTTTATTATTTATATAACTTAACAAGGGACCAAATTATTTCTCAACATCTAACTTAAAATTATGTACACACAATTAACTGTATTTTTTTTAAATATAAAATTTGAAAAATACGCTTTTTATAATCTTATATTTGGGAATATGAGTTTTGTAATGTTACAATTTTGGTGATCGCATGAATCTGTTGAGGATTTTTTACTACATTTTATCCATTAGTAATTTAAGTACTATCCCTGTGTAAATTGTATAAGACAGAGAGAGAGAGAAAGAGAGATAGAGACAGAAAGAGAGAATGGGGCAGAAAGAGAGAACGAGACAGAAAGAGAGAAAAAGAGAGAGAAAAGAGAATAAGAAAGAAAAAGAGAGAGAAAGAGAGAGAGAGAAAGAGAGGGAAAGAAAGAGAGAGAAAGAGAGAGCGAGAGAGAGAGAGATAGAGAGAGGGGGGAGAGAGAAGGGGGTGAGGCGTACCGGCTGAGCTCCTCGAGCGAGTGCAGGAAGTCGATGGCCTCGGACGTGTTCTGGATGCGCTTGACGCTCTCCACCTGGAACGACTCCTTCCCCGGCTTCAGGCTCTGGTAGATCTGCTGCAGGCGCAGCAGCCCTGCAACCACGCCCCCGAGCACGCTTTCATTCTACGCGCCAACTTCAATACGAGTCATCATCATCAACATAAGAATTAATATCAGTATAGTTCCGTTTGGAGTAATCCACTGACGCCCCCCCCCCCGCTCTCAATTCATGCCAATGCCCTTTGACAGCTCCGATGTGAGTGCGTCAGCCTTCCTTTCCTTTTCTCTGCGAAGTGCCTTTGACACATAGTGACATGGACCTGCCCAGCCGCCTGCGGCCCACCGGCCAGTAGTAGCTCTCAGAACCTTTGCGAGTCGAAAACTTGAATTGAATTGAATTGAATTAATGCTTTATTTTACGTGGTGAGACTAAGGCCAGCTCTTCCGTCTGACCACGCAAATTTGGCTACGCTCCTTTCACTAACTAGCAGAGAAAGAAGGTATTTCTTGGTCGAGAAACAGGCGGTTTCAATTTAGCTCAGAGGCTACGTCATTTCGGCTTGAGTATCTTTTACATGCATGGTTCAGCCGGCTTTACTTCCCCTCTGAAGGAAAGCGTACGAAGAATTTTTTCACTCTTAAAAACCCACGGATTCGATCGGGTTTGAACTTGTGAACAACAGTCCGGTACGCTAACCGTTTCATCATCGCCATGGCATCGCGCGAAGAGGCAAGTAGATACCGCGCCGTGTTCTGTGGCCCCGTTGCATGCGCTTCACCCCTGTCCACAGGCAATCCTGCAGCGGAGAACCATGGCGTAGGTGGGCAAGGTTTCTGGTGGAGAGTAGTAGACGACCACCTGCATTCTGAGTTTCACAGCGGCACTCATGTCGTTAGCTTCAAGGTGGATGGAGCGACTACGCGATGTTAAGCTCTGGGTGGGTTCCTTCCCGTACTAACCAGTTCGGGCCCTAGCACGCAGACATTTGGGCGGGATTGGGCGGAGGTCGTTCTTCGGAACACAGATAAAAGTTCAGACTGTGATCACGATCCCTGTCAGCTTCCGGTGGCACTCACGTCGATTGCACAAAAGTTGATTGCAGAGAGAAAACGGGAAGGGGACCGAAAGTCGCCGGACCGATAGAAGTGGCTTAGTACTTTAACTGATGTGACTGCAGTTCCTCTGACCGGATAATCCTATGTTCGAGTCCTGACAGTAGCAAGATTTGCGACTGATTAGCTTTTCAGCAATAACGAATACGGTCGCTATATGGGAGAGAATTCTAGAGGCCAGCTGCACAATCGGTAGTTTTCCGTGGTTTTTCCGATTACCACACGGCGAATGTCGGAGCATTACCCTAACAAATGGGCCACGGACAGGCCGCGATCTTTCCTTCCTCTTCTTTGTTATATCATCACCCCTTACACACACTTGCACTAATCGTAACTACACCACCCCACATGTCGGGAGACCAATCCGGGAGCTTGGAGCTAGGCCCGGCTGGGGCGGTACCCTGCTGGTGGGAAATAACTGTTTGGGGAAATCCTTGTTAGCCGACGGTAGGTCGGCCCCAGATGTCGCCATTCTCCCGAGGAAAAACACATTCCACACTACAATTACCGGATTAATGATCTTGGTAGACAACGCGCCCGGAATCACTAACAACCATCCGAGTCATCGGGACCTTAGTTCAGGAGGCACACTGTTGGGCTCTCGGCTTCGTCATGGCAGAGGCCCGGCACTCTGGCTATAGAGAAGGGACTCGTTGCCGGCGCAGTGTGAGTGGCGCATTGATTCGACTCCGATACCAGCCTGGAAAGCCGGTAGATCTGAGCTGTCAGGGCGGTCCAACCCAGGTATTGAATGAGAAGGTTACCGAGAGGGTAAACCGCGTTCAGGTGAGACCCAGATACCAGCAATCGGTGTTCTTGTGAGTTGAGAGGAGGGGGGATAAAAACTAACTCTTAGGTGCCCACCCGGGGGTGCAATCTCTCTGATAGAGCAAGGAACAGTGAGGTGTGGTAGACCATGCAAGGCTTATACTGTCCACAGGTAAACTGCCAATTGAGACAAGTTCCAATACTAGACGCAGGTACGTGTTTGGGTTTCAATCTTTAGGTTGTTGATTGAAGAAATGTGCTACTCGCGACGTTTATGTTCCTCGGATGGTGCAGCCTTTCCCCCGGGAATTGACAGTCCTGACGACCCTGTTTGGCGGTTCATATCCCGTTCTTCAATGCAACCCTTTCCTCGAATGACCTTGAAATTAATATCGTCCCCTGCATTGCACGTCTGGACCCGACGAATATTATTCTGAATCACTTGCACTAACCGTAACTACACCACCCCACATGTCGTGAGACCAATCCGGGAGTTTGGAGCGGCCTGGGCGGTGCCCCGCTGGTGGGAAACTTATTAAAGTTCTACTAAGGCTCATGTTATTTCCCGGGTGCTCCTTATTTGTATATGCAATGTTTTAGTACAAAATCCTACTAATAAAAACTGAAGGCGTGGGATCAGATCTCGCAGCCTAGGTACTTGTTACTCTACATTGTTACAGATAAGAAATAAAGATACTTTGCGCTTTGCCACACATTAATTATATGTTGAGACTTTAAAATAGAATATGTGTGTTCGCAAATATGACGGTTTATTAACTATTACATGTTCAGGAAAAGTTATATAAACATATTTCCTCTTCATTAACTTCACTTGCCTACTTCATTAATTTTGTAGTTGAAAAATCATTTTATCAGCATGCAAAGAAAAAACTAACATTGAATATTTTAATACGAGGACTGCTTGGTTCAAAATTTCTTTAGCAAATAAACCAACATATCTATCTACATCACATAATTTGTTTATATTATAATATAAATAATTACTAATAAAATGTTAATAAAATAATATTATTATTTTTCTACATATCATAATTAGTGTTGAGTTTATGCATTTTGTGGAAAATAGATAACAACTCCATTGAGTTAGCCTATCAACTACGAGTACTTACAGACTCATTTACATAGCATATCAGTTATTATATATTTATATCATGCTTTTTTTACAGCGCTGATTCTTAGTGGTTATTGCATTTAATGTAATTATTTTCAGATATGGCTTGCATGATAGGATTATACCTATTCTTAATATATTAATCAATATTTGCCTATAGAACATATTGAAACATAACATGCCTTAATTTTTTATAAATATGCACTATACATAACATCTTTATTTATCCATTAGAAAATCATATGCATGAGGCAAACATACCATCGTTAGAGTCGTATAAATAGATTATCTTCTTCCAGCCATAATATCGAACCACGTCGATGATAGCTTGATGATAATCCGGCCGCATGCTAATAGCAAAGTCCAGAGACCCTGAGGATGGTGCCAGCACCTAAGAGAATATTTCATTCCACGTTAGTTTTTATACATCTTGAAAACTTAAAGTTATCTAGTTTCGTCCTTTCTGTTTTTAATCAGATCCCATTACATTTTTGACAAAATTGTGTCATGAATCTTTCAATTAGCACTAATACCATATAAATGTTGTTTGGATAATTAATTACCTTAATTCTAACAAAACGCCCGACGAATTCACATATTATAGCACGATAAAAACATTTCAGAAGCGGTTAGAAACTAGTTATAATGAGACAAGCAATTAGTTTTCCTAATTAAATCCCATTTTACAAAAACAAATATTTTTGTAATGATTTCTATGATGTGCACTAGGTGAAAGATAACATAACATTTAAATCAATATTATTGTAGAGTGTATATTGTACATACTTTTAAAAAGACTTAAACTTCTTAATGAACTCTAGAATTTTTAATAGAGTGTATCCCACAATCAAACAATAAAATCTACTTATAAAAATATATAGATCAATGTTCTTTATATCAGTTGAGCTTAGAATAAACTTTGTGTATTTGAATGATTAGTGTAAGCATTATGATAGCCATAACAATTTCTACTGTAACTTTTTTATAATGTCAACTACTACTAAAGAAAGACTACAGTGAATGACAATGAATATCAATATTATTGTAGAGTGTATATTGTACATACTTTTAAAACGACTTAAACTTCTTAATGTACCCTAGAATTTGAACAGAGTAAATCCCATAATGAAACAATACAATCTACCTATAAGAATATATTGATATATATTTTCTTGATATCAGATGAGCTTAAAATAAACTTCGTGTATTCCAAGGATTAGTGTAATCATTATGATAGCAATAAGAAGTTCTACTGTAACATTTTTTTAAATGTCAACTACCGATAAAGACTACAGTGAATGGCTACTGAGTAGAATTTATGCTATTTTTCAATTGGGAAGCTCTGAAAGAAGACATCCTACTTACCTTTTCCGGAAACCAAGGAGTGACAAAGGGCATTTGAAACGTGTTTGTGTAGGAGTGAAGCGTATCGAAGGAGTCAGGGCTCACTGCACCCAACATGGCAAAAACTCCTCTCGAAAACTGGTTGCAAACTGAAAATGAAGATAGTTCATATATAATTTTATACATTAATATATCCCCGATATCCATTTTTATTTTTACCTTTCCCTAAAATTTAAATATCCCAACAAAATCATGTCCCGACACGTCTTTACATGCCTCACCTTTTTAATGTTTATTACTCTTTTTCGCCTATATTAACCTTTAAATATTTTAAATAATTACACTTTATAATTCATTTTCATTCATGTTTCTTTCTATGAGTGTTCTAGCATCTATCATCATTTCTTTTAATGTCAGTTTATTTTTTTCATAAGTGGGTGAGTTGGAAGAGCAGTCATTAACAAAGGCGATGTTATTACTTTGTTCGTCCAACAAGATAAATTATCATAATACAATTCTGAATATGTTTTCTTTGCAAAAGAAAACGTTAGGCAACATGGACATGTTCAGAATGAAACATTGTACACATAAACAAACTTTGTTTCACAAATAATAATTTTACGCATGGTTTTCCTCCTTTCCCTTCCAGTTTTCCTCCGCGAGTTTTCTTACAACTATACTCATATATTTCTCACAGAAAAGTGAGATTCTTCACTCTATCACGAAGGACAGATAATACAGACACGGAAATATTTCTAATTGTATGACAACGTAACAAATGATCTGTTGAGAGTCTCGCTCTATTTATCTAAAAAAAGTGTATTCTTTCCTAAAAGGAAATTCTTGTCTTCTCCATGCGTTAAATACCACAGACGGCTTTTTAGTTTGACTTAGATTTAAGATCAGCCTTGCTTCTATCTAGGACATGCGGCTGGAGCCATTTCTTTCCATTTCCATCCAGATACTGGGTATCTCAAAAGCTTTCACTTCCCACAGGCTACTACGTTTATCTTTCTCCAACACAAATGATACTCATGAAATGTTGAATAGGTTTTGAATAAAATCTCAACTCGAGAGTACATAATAATTCTTATACGTCAATATTTCTTTTAAAGAGAGTCACCAACTTAACGTCTCTGAAAATAGGAGAAATAGAAAACTAGCACCACCGAATTTTATCTCCAGTTGTAGAATTTCATTCTGTGTTTAGTATATATTTTTTAAATCAGTATTATTATTTTAAAGTGATTTTTACGTAAGTGTACATTTTTAAATAATACAACAAAAATGACCAATTATTTAAGCTATTATTGTCTTTCAGAATTCTTATCATTTAAATTACGAATTTTCTAAATTATTTCACAATCCATTGTTTTCAGTTTGTTTTTCAAAGTCAAATCTAATCACTACCTATTTATCAAAAGATAATTAGTGAGATACGTACTTGACTTTGTAAAGCAGTTCTGGTAAGTCACAAAGAACTTCTTAGTGGGAGCCGTGGGTCCCATTACAGAAAGAAAGGAAGAAGAAAGAGAGATTTGTAAGTTTGCCGTTTCCTTTCTAATTTGAATTGCAAAGTTTTGACTGCTTCGGAATCACTTCAGAAGATCATACAGACTCGGTTGGTCAATACTCCTCGCTCAAATTTTACGATCATGTTTCAGTAATTCAAAGATAGAATACCCAGCAAAAGAGAAAAACAATAGTTATATGAAATTCTAGTGAGAAATATTACAATTTGGAATTAATTGTTGTCTTTAGTTTATAGAAGTCTAAATGCTTATGAAAACCCGAGCAAATAAGTGATGTACATTATGATTCACAATTAGTTTCTTGGCTAAACTGTTTAATTTATTTTTTTCAAAGAATTTTCACATTTTATTTGTAATCTTATTAATTATCAAATAATTTGCATTTAGTGTTGGGTTTCTGGGGTTTCTAACTTCACAAAATGATGACATTTTAATTTTCTTGGGAAATAAAAATACAGAAAGATATCAGCACGCGAACGTGGCAAATTTCTTGTTAGTATGTAATTGAATTAAAATTCAATATATTGAATATTTTCTCACATTAACAGAATAGCTTTATAATTTTATTTTGAATTACCGCTTTTTGAGTAACAGATCCAAAAATATTTCAATAACATCAAGCGCCACTCTGACCATTGGACGTCCACAATACCATTTTAACGAGGAGAACAAGAAACTGCTTCACCATACACCAAAGTATTTAATTGCGAGAATTATCCAGTAAAGAGAATATAATCATACTGACTGAGACGAGAAAGTTTGAAGGCGTCAGCCGTGTTGATGACGTCGACGTAAGCTTGCAGCTCGAAGCGCCTGCCGGTCAAGTTCTGATTGTGTGTCAGCATTGCGAACTTGAAGGCAGATTGAACCTCATCCGTGCCCTGCTCGAAGATCGCTCCTGCAACAGAGAAACGACACATTATATTGACGATTTTGAGCTTCCCCTTGTTACACTTTACTAGCTCTTTGTAGATGCTGCTTTTAATTTACTAAAATAAATCCTACTGGTTCAGGAGATAATTCTCTGGGATTTCATTTATCATTCTGTATTCCATTAAGGGAAGACATATTTCATTCACTAAGGCAGACACATACGCGCTCACGCGCACATACTCGATGGTATGGGGGCTAGCATTCTTCTGGCAAAATTCTAGTACGCAAGATTAATTTAATTGATTTTTGAAGGGCGGAAAATCCATCATCAATATGGATTTGTGATTATTCTTATAGTTTTCTGAAGTTGTTCATTTCCAGCCATATGAATTCTCGTGCGCAGTTGAGTAAAGTAATGTGATAAGAGGAGAGTGACCGGTGTACTGATAAGCTACGTCGCTATGAACACCACCCATCAGCCTAAATTTGGCTGCAATTGTCTCATTGGTGTGAATTCAACGCGCGCACGACACGTGGGTAATCGATTAAAGAATTCTTCTGTTCATACAACGGTGCCAAACTAAACGATTAAAAAGATATGACTGACATTAATACAACGAAATTTCTATATCTATAGTGTTACAATGAAGTTATACAAAATGTCCTCGCATTACTGAAGATACTATTTGAACTGTTTGAAAATTGAGAGCAACTTTTGCTCTTCATCTCGGAATGACTTCAAAATCCGGTGGTAGTTTTTTAGCCAGGCCCTAGAACCAAGAGCCCAGGCCTCTCTTTCACTGAGTGACGTCGTGTTTTGTTTCCAATGGACCGTTTCGAGCGTCAGTTCTTCCCAACCAGCCGTTGTGACCGATTTCATGAAATCCTTCGTCGAGAGTACTTTATGAGATTGAACGCGAAAATATGGAAGAGTGATGGTACGAGAACAGTGTGATTCAAAAACACGCAGAACACTTTGAAAGGGAGGTTTTAGCGGATTGGATAGAGAAATGGAAGCATATCAGGTGACTTCCAGGAAGCACGGATTCTTTTGCTTCTTTACACGCTAAGAGAACGGAGAGAGAAATTCACCTAATAACTTTCAAGGTCTAGGTAATGGCAAAGAGAAGGTAAACAGCATTCTGTTAATTAATGTATTTAGTGTCTAATTTACTTGTTATCTCTTCACTTTTATTTCATGTTGTGTATTTATCCTAGGTAATACTACAAGTGCTTTGGAAATTATTGATGAATTCCCGACTCGCGAAGCGAGGATTGTGCATCGACACAGCGATCGATGTATACCGCCTCGTAAGACTACGATGAATACCACCTCGTAAGTTTATGATTGGCTAGTAGGTAGAAGCGCTAAGAAAAATCAGAGAGAGAAAGCGATAAACTTTTTGAGATACACCGCCCTGATTGGGGTATTTTGTGTGTATAGTTAAACACTATTGGTTTTAATTTCACGAGTGGGATAGGAATTGATATCATTCGTGACTAAAGAGAATGAAGAATACTACAGCGGTGAAATGTTTTATTTTTAGTGATTATTTGCACTTGGTTAAAATTTACAATAATTAGTACTATTAATTCAAACAATGCAATTATGTACGTATTAATTTATAATATTATTAACCATTGCAATTGCAATAATTACTACTATGCACAACAGAAGTTGAGATAGGGTGAAACGTTTTATGAGTGGTAAAGCTCGCGTACTCATTGGTAATAAGTATATATGGACTAATTAAAAATCATCCCGATTGGCACTGTTCGAACAGCTTATAGAATTAGTTAATGCATGCCTCAGGGGTCGTGGGATACCACAAGTCTTTAAAGTAGGTTACATCTCCAATGCCGAAGATAAGGAGGAATTCTCTAATAACCGTAATATAAACGTCCTGAGTTCCCTTGTTAAAATATACTGTAAAATATTATAAATAGATTGAAAATATTGGAAAAAATTGGGTCGTAAATGCATATCATACATTGGATAATGTCTTACTTTGGTCGCAAACGTGCTGTGGACTCAATGCTTCGGTCCATACAGTGCCTCTCGAGAAACGAAATGGGAAGGTAGTCTCCTCCTGGTTGCCTAGTATTTAATACTTCGACGGACCTCAATCTGATTCCGACGCCTTCCCAGTCACCGAGCAGCAACTGATGCCACTGCAGTGCCTCTGAACGGGAGTTCCTAGGTTGGAGACCCGACAGTGGAAATACGTTCGATACTAGCTCGATAAGTAGGTCAAGTTCTGTTGCTGTCTGGAGGAGAATTCTACCGGCCGGCTGCTCTGATTGCTAGTTTTTGTGCTTTCTCTGATCATTACCAGGCGATATTTACTTCCTCTTCTTTTACCTATCCTCTCTCTTTACTTACACTTACATACACTACTCTACCACATATACCGGGATACCGAGCTTAGAGCTTGTCCCGGCTTGGGCGGAGCTCCGCTGGTGGGATATACCTGGTTGGAGAATACCCCGCTAGCAGACGGTAGACCGGATCTCACTATGCTCCGGGGAAAGACCACCTCCACCTCTCGAGGAAACATACTCTACACTTACAGGACTAGTAGCCATTTGTCGCGCCCAAAATTACTAATCAATCAAACTCGACCCTTCTGCCGTACGGCTGTCATAATTCTAAACATCTCACATTGACTCCCACACATTCCCGTATGCTTTCCCTGCCTTTCATTTATTATTTTGTCTTTTGTCAACACACGATGTTCCTTTTATTTCGTTTCCTTTATCACACAATATCACATTCAAACCTTATAATTTAAGTTCATAATTTTTATAAATTTGATTTCTCCTACGCGAGGAGATATCGCTACAAAGACGCGTTCTTGCAAGATTATGTTGTCATTACAACACGTATAAATTATTATTTCGTTTTAACAAAGAAATATCTTCCATTAATCATACGTACTTTGTTTGGAAATTAATTTATTAATATCATATTTGAACAGAGAATGAAGCTGTTACATATTGGAAAAAGACATTCCCACTGTATTTTGAATATATGCAAATGAAATTCCAATGAATACAGCTATTGAAATGCCATTAAACAAACTCGTTAAATGATTGTCTATCATTGAATTATAACATTCAAGAGGACATAATCTCTTCGTTTATATTTATTAATAAAATATAAATTTATTTTTAAATATATGATAAGCAGAGGCATGTTTCCACCATCAGCCGATTGTAGTTTTTCCTAATCATCTTTAATAGAAAAGTTGTTTTTATTAATGAGTAAAATATTCTAGCACACTACAGTAGCGGTACCATCCACGCTCTTCCTCGCACTTGAGATACACCAGCGAGTGCCTAAACAGCTGTGTCTTCTCTCCGCCCCAGCTGATCGCTTCCTCACTACCCTACTCCTTCATCCGCCCCGAACTGGGACCGACCCCCCTTCCAACATGTTCTACACTCCGCCAGGCCCGCACTATCTCCAACATCCCCATGCTTCGATCAACCTGCCCAACCACGTCCCCTCCCGGCCCAACCCCTCCCACCTACCCGTCCTGCCACACCCTACA